TGAGAAAGATGAAGAAAGAGGAGCTTCAGAAGAAGCTCCTCGAACTGAAACAGGAGCTGTCTGGCCTGCGTGTAGCTAAGGTTACAGGCGGTGCTGCATCTAAGCTCTGCAAGATGTAAGTAATTGCACAGTACATTTTGATTCATTGTGCCCTACAATAGATTCACTTGACAAATACTAAAGAGTTGGGTCTTTTGTAGATATAGATTCTTTCACTCTGGTCCTTAAAGAAGAAGAAAAATTGATGGGGCTGTAAAGAGTAACTTTCAAGACGGAAAACAATCAAATCTTTCTCCTGCATCTATGACCAGTTATAGCAAATAATAACAGGTGCAAAAAAAGTAATTACATTTGTCAGTTTAATGAGTTGTGACAATTTGAATAGTTAATATTAATGGAAATTATATAAAGACTTTTTTGTAATTCTAAAGCCCTGTAATATTGGTGAAATAGTGAAACCTAAATTGCCTTCACTGTACAGTTAATGCAGAGATTTGTAGGTAATGAAATTAGATTGTTTGGAAGCATGGTATCATTACAGGTTAGAAACCATTCTGCACTGCACTGCAGGCAATGCAGTTGATAGCTAGCATTCTCAAGCTGCAGCTGCACTTGTAAATCTACTGACTGTGCGTTGGTTTAATTTCAAAGATCAAGTGTGCTTGATTTCTGATAGTGAAAGCTAGAGTATAGCTTTAATTTAATTACTTGCTTGAATATGAAAATAGGTTTGGGAGTTTAACCCCTTCAATCTGGATGACATGGTCATCATGTCAAGGGGGGGAAGGGTGGCTTTAGTGGTGGGTGATATGAAAATAGTCATTGTAAAATTTGGGTATGGGCCAGGTGATGTGAACTTGCTGTCGTGAGCGTTTTGGCTGAAGGCCGGAATGACAGGAAAGACTTGCTATGAGTGCACAAAGCTCTAGGAGGGTGGTTACTCATTTGGCAATTTGAAGGGGGTCCTTGCATTATTACAAGTGATGAATGAAGTGCCTGTGAGCCATGACTGGAAAAGTTCTGGCTCCAAGGAGTACAGCATTTCCAGGCTCTATTAGATTAGGTAGTTATGGACTACTTAGAGAGATGATATGGAGTCTAAAGCAAATTGACAAATATGGACATTGGGAAGTAAAAGCTAAAAAGGCTTTCATATACAAGCAAAATAACATTGCAAAGAGAAGGCATAAAGTTTTGTCACCACACAAGTATGTGGCCTGGCTGCTTGTGTAAACCAAATCCCCATATTTTGGGCCATGTGATTGCTATGAAGCAGACAGATTCATGGGTTGAATGTACATTTTCTAGTAGTATGACAAGCTAGGTTTTGCAATTTTGCCCAAAAATTATTTAACCCCTTGGTGCCGGGTGACGCCGATCGGCGTGTACACAAAGAGCTCGAAAGCTGGCGTGCAGCCGAACGAGCCGGCGGCGAGCCAGTGATTCTGGCTGATGCCCCCTACTCACACGCTCAAAGTCGGCGCGCCGCCTTTGTTTGTTTAAGCGTAGAGTTCTTTTTTTTCTTTTGTACACCCGGCGCCATTGGGTTAATTAACCATTAGGTGGGAGTATAAAAATTAGGCCATTACAGCTGAGCCTATTTACTCATAGGCTATGGATGACATGGGGTTCACATCATGGCTGACTTTGGGGGGGCTCCAGGTGATGTGTTATTCATGTTGTGGCCAACTTGGACATGGGTCTGGGCAATGGGTCATTCACATGTTACGATGATGCATGTATTAAATTGTATGCTGTTTAATGCTTACACGAAATGCCCATGTAGTGTATCTCTAAATATGTAAAAACATTAAAAATCATGTTTCGCATTAGTGATATGAAATAATCTCATCACTGTACGACTCGTTGAGCACTGTGTACTGGCTGCATCTGAAAAAAGCCCTAGAGACAAGTGCATTGGTTAATGGATTGAGATGCTGTAGTTTTTGATAGATATTACATGTATCCCCTAGAAATCTCTTCATATCATTTTTTCTGATACGCTAATATTTCTCTTTCCATTACAGCCGTGTTGTTAGGAAGTCCATTCACCGTGTTCACACCATCATTGGACAGAAGACAAAGGAGAATCTTAGGAAGTTCTACAAGGTTAGTTACATTTATTTTTTGAAGAGTAAGCATAAATATAAGCAAGTATAAAACTATTTCAAAGAATAAACTTTGCAATATGCAAATTGCCATGTATAATTTGCGCTTTAATGGTATGCCACTTTTTAAAGCATATTAAAAGTACTGTTAATTGTTGTTTTCTGTTATAACCAGCCATATAACATGACATTTCCCTTCTATCTCATAAAATGGCTATGATCTTAAATGGTTCCACCTTTCAAGGACTCTTAGTATATGGTACAAAACAAGGGAGTGAACGGAATTGTCAAAAAATCAACAAAATTAGAAATGGTTCTTAGACAAATTAAAATCTGCAAAGTATTTTCAATTTGGGAGTATGCTAACCTGTCATTAATGGAATTAACATAGTTTTGAGTTTTAATACCATGAGTGGCTATTCCTGTAGCATTTGTCTACATGTCAAGGTTATGTATGGTATGGTATGTGCCATTATTAGCCAGTACATTTAATATAATGCTGAAATTAAATATTTGTCTTCTCTTTTGCAGGGAAAGAAGTTCAAGCCTCTTGACCTCCGCCCAAAGAAGACCCGTGCTATCCGCCGTTCCCTGACCAAGTCTGAGAGAGCCATTATTAGCTCAAAGGAGGCTAAGCGCAGATGGAACTTCCCCCAGAGGAAATTTGCTGTTAAGGCATAAGTAAATAAATGATGAGAGGTAATTTCTTCTTTATTTAAACCCTTTGCAACACTTTTGGGTGAGGAGGAAATAAGTCACACACCCTGCAGAGAATGAGAGAGAATGATCATCGAAGAACTTTCCCAAGAAAGTCGCAGGTTTTCAGTCAAAAAAAAAATGCCTTGGAAAGGTTGACCTTCAGCAAATGGAAGGTCATTAAGTATGAATTTTATCAGTGATATTCACATTTGTGGCTAAGGAACATTATGGACTCACCCTCCTTCCCCTAATATTTTTGAAGCATTACTAGACCACTGACTCAAAATTACACACTATATAATAGCACAGTGTTTAACCGTTAATTATACATTTGCAAAGCTTCTCTTAAGATTTTAGATTTGAAGATGCCAATGTCTTATTACTATGAAACCAGCCTGAATATCATCATATTGAAGTAAAACTGGATAATGTGACTTAGAATTACACTATGTATTTGGACATATTTTGCTGTTGCCTTTTGTTGATGGCTACCTTAATGTAGAGATGTCTAGGTAAATCAAGCTGTAGTCTACTTGACACAGAATACTGCATTAAAAATGTATATAATCTGAAGGTCCACACTATTGTTATGCCAATCTGAGTAACATCACTCCTTACAGTGGCTAGGATAGTTTGGCTCCTATTTAAATTTTTTGATGGTCTTTCCTTAACCCATTGGTGCCGGGTATGACGTGTACGAACGTGCTATTCCCACCGTGAGTACTTGTTTGATTGTTATTACGCATAGATGGCAACACTTGTACTAAATCACCAATGAGCCAACTACGAGTACCGCCCGTCACGCCCGTTTACCTGTTTCTTTGATTTACGAAATATTTTACGTAATCTTATTTTGCTGTTACTAATGTTAAACATTATAGAAATTATAATGTTTATGATAAAAATAACACCATCGATTTTCATAGCACTAGTGAAAAATACGTTTTTCCCGCCATTTCAAATCAGGCGCTAGCAGAGCCATCTATCGGCAGACATTTCACGAAAAAGAAAGTGGGCACAGCATTTTCCCCATTTTATGTTCATTTTCCCTGGCAGCATTGGGTTAAGGTCCTCTGCATTCTGTTTTCACCTAGGCTCACACTGAAGCACTAGCAGCAATGCCAATTTGTCAATTACTATGTTCCAGTAATGACATTTGCTTTGGAAACTCACCTTTGCAATTTGCTTTAGTCCACTGGTGCAAATCTCGGTTCTTCCAAAGCCGTTACAAGGGATAAATAAGATATTTCATGAATCTCCGCCAGAATGTCGAGATAAGAGACTGACAAATAAGAATGCAAGAGTTACGTAATCTGGAATTGCAAAGTCTCGGTCCTAATGGGATCTTTAGAATTCGTTTAAATAGTGATATAATCACGTGAGGCTCTAGAGTCTGCCAGTAATCAGCATTATTTCATCTCAGTCTTGTTAATCCCATACTTTTGAGTAAAAACAAAAAACCCAAGGAAGTATGCATAAAATATGTATATTTAAGTATTACATGAAAAATAAAGTACTGAAATGTGGTTATTTGTTTTATTGAAAATTAGAAGTGCATGATGATAAAAGATGCTAGAACTTTGAAAGCAGTAAACATTTGTGAAGTACTGTAATCATGTACATTTAAAATATTAAGAACTGTAATTCATTGCCTCCTGGAGAACATGGGGTTCACTTGACCTCCGCTCCAGGTAATTGCGCGACTGACTGGTCTTACTTAAGGAGCCTGTTTCTTGCATGCCCCTCACATTGCATCTGCTGCACTGCACCAACCAAGTTATTTTTTAAAATTACTTGTAAGCAAAACATTTGCATATTGAGATGCATGACATGCATTTCAGTTGCTAGATGGAACTGGTAGAAACCTATGTACATTAGAATACACTTCCATCAATAAGGTATGTGGTTTTATTGAAGAACAAAATCTTGATTTTACTAATTATGAAATTGTATGAAGTGGAATACAAAGGCAAACATAAAAGAAATTATAATAATAATGATAGAAGTAGAATATATATATATATAAATGTGAAGGCTCACACTGTATTATGCCCATGTTAAATCCTTAGAATCACGTGTTAATTTTGATAACTACTGAACTGCAGAAGCTAATTTCACACCAGCAGCCCAGCCTTACTAACAATACAAGGACTCGGGTGAAGCAAAGCTACATTCCCAAATAATAGTCAACAATAATTGTGCATTTTTTAATCAAGTAAAAATGGAGTTTACACTAAAATTTGCAACATAGTCATTGGATTTATAAATGGTATATACAAAATATATGCATTGATATAAAACATCCTTTTTATACAGTTGCTTAAGAAATAATTTAACATGCAATTTGTATGCTTACCAATCAATCTACTTATTAGCTACAAACAAATGATTCAAAAAATCCAAATTTTGCTTGTGCATATTCCTTGAAAGGGAATAGAGAAAACCAGATATTGCATTCAAAATATTAAAAGCAACTGGAATGTTGGGGAAATTTACCATAGAGAATAAAGAAAACTTCTTATTCTTATTGCCTTTACTTTTTTATGAGGGGACCGTCCCTAAGCATGGGTGAGGCTGGGTCGAAGTGGCGGAAAATTGTTTTAACACCCAGTACGAGTGTACAAATACTCCCGCGACGAGAAATCGGGCAAAGATGCCGAGCCTCCCTGTCGCAGTGTCAGCGATTTTCACCTTTCTGCACTCTTGCCTTAGAGAAACGAACATGACACGTTTTATTTTGTCATTACTTAAATATATGGATCACAGAAGTAGTGTCTTGTTATAACAGTTTCTTTCCGAAGTGAAGGATTTATAATACGAAAAAAAGGGGGAAAGTCAAATGACTTCGAATTTCTTTCCTATGAAAAAATTGTTATGCTCCGATTCTGATGTATACATCATATTGGTATGTATAGGGTTCGATGATAATGCACGAGTTACAAGTATTTTTCTCTACAAACACACTCGTGACTAGCAGATGTGTACTTGTGCTGGGCACTCCAGCCGCATTTGGCGGACCTCTCAGAATTGCAGGTGTGGCCACCGCGTTTGACTGTAATCTCTGTTTGCACGTTCATTTGAAGCTAAATCGATAAAACAATAGTTCTATAAGTTATATTACTATTTATACACAGGTAAAATAAATGTAAAGACTTCGTATGATAAAATTTACTGGTGTAAACTCTTTACATTGGCCTACAATTATGATCTATTATTACATCACGAGAAATGTTCACGATAAACGAATAATGGCTATTTATACATCAAAATATCAACGCATTCTGTACGGTTATTTCTTATGAACAAAGAAACAATTCATTTCCCTCCTTAACAAGTGCTCTGCTCACGACTAACCGTTTACTGCTTGTTTTGGGGCGGGGCCACGTAGTTAAACGATTAAAAATTAAAGATATTCCGCGCCAGAGTAGGCTGGAGAAGGAGAAGGACGCACTCAAAAACATTGGAAGCGAAATTATATGCATCGCAAGGCTTCTCCTTTGCAGATAACAATGAACATAAATATACATGCACACCCGCGTGTAGGCCTATGCACTCTTGCACAAATATGCAGAGGTTTACACATTTCCTCAAATTTACACGTATGTATACACGTGTACGTATCTGTACGCACACTTAAGCATGTTTACATTTATATTCATAAACATGCGTATTTATATATATATATATATATATATATATATATATATATATATATATATATATATATATATATATATATATATATATATATATATATATATATATTTATATATAACGTATGTATATATACACATACAAATAAACGTATACACGTAAGAAAACAATAAGAGGCCTGAGGCAAGGAACACCGAATTTCGATATAGCGGCCATGGTGTCTTGATTATGGATTCACCCCTTTTCACGTGATCATTTGCTTGTTTCTAAAACTAGGAAACTATATCTTTGAGCAACAAATTGCATTCGAATGAAATTATAGTAATTTCTATGTTGATAATAAGATATTACAATTAAAAAGTTGGGAGAAAATCAACTTGGAAATATCAATCTTTTTGTTTTTCCGACACTTTTTAAGAGCTTTGGCTGATCAAATGTACCGGAGCTCGACCGATTTTAATTTTAGTTTTATCTCTATAAAGCTTGTAAAATGCGTATCGAGCCTCGCGAGGAATTTTAAAAATTTCACGCCCGTGTTTTTGTAAATTATTTTTTTTTTCTTTATAGGAAACTATGGTGAATCTATAAAAAGCCCGCGAGGTTGGATTAGGAAATCACTGATGTTCATGCAGATATTTTTTCTTGGCCTAATTAATTATCCTGTTGCACATTTGCTCAACCATGCAGACAATTGGAAATAAAAGCTTTTTTTTTCCTGGGAACATTGCCCCCCTTGTGAGTGTCCCCGTAAATTTGGTGTCAAAACGTCTGTAATTAATATGTTTTCGATTTGACCCCCTTACCCTCAGGGATGGTCCCCTTCACATAAATGGTAATCACTGTATATCAAGTCAGTTTGAGAGCACACTTCAATACAGTGCTGTGGAGGAACATTTACTGCGTCAGACTGGCCTGCTGCAGCCGCTGGGGTCAGTATGTCACACTGAAAACAGGCAAAGAAATTTATTTACTACTGCTTTTTCGTAAACATCTAAGAGTTAAGGTTTCAAAAAATTATTATTGGAGTGTTAATATTTACATTTCTTACATAATGCAAGGATTCAAATGTTAAATATCTGAGTGGTTTGTCCTCATAAGCAAATCCATTTGGAAGACGTTATGTATTATTTTCTTAGTTTTTTGAGGACTTCAGAAGTGAGAAAACGTACCTTTAACCTGAATTTCACTGGGTGCACCAATATTATTCGCATGGCCATTTGTGAGCTGCTGCTGCTTGGGGTCATGGTTACCATTCACCATCAGTTTCTCCATGCCATTCGCTACTATGTTCTGGTTAAAAAGAGAAATTAGTCTTATGATTTTCCAACAATAAAATGCTCATACCATTTCAAAATGTACTGAAAAGATTTATGTAAACCAAAAATAATCCACATAACAGTTAGTAATACTACCTCTGCTGCTTCCATCTCTGTCATGATGGCATCCAGTTTTTCAACAAGTTCTTTAGCATCTTCCATTCCAAAGACCAGTGGGCTTTTGAACTTCAGAACATTTCTGTAAGGGCCATCATTGCTCAGCAGCACATATTGCTCCTTTAATCTGTAAGATGGTTTCATTATTTGATCATGCATCTGTATCTATAGTCACTTGTACAGACCTTGTACGGTCACTTTTATATAAGGGTAAGTAAAACATTTGGACAAGCAGCTTAATACATAATGTATAATTAATTCCTGGTCATGGCAGTTTCATACAAAGTGAAACATCAATCCAGGACCACAAGAATCTATCTGCTTATATAACGGCAGCAAAGTTTTACACATTATGCTCATGAGCTCTCAGTAGAATTGATTCAAAATTAAAATACAGTCAGGTCTCGTGAGTTATGAATGTGAGATGGAGTAATGCAAGAATGCATAGGTAGAAATATAAAACAATCCTTCTTGACGAGGATCTAGTACTATATCAACATGACCAGAAGGAATTGACACTAGAAATTGTTTAGCTAAGAAAACGTATATATCCACACAACTCAAAGCGTAAGGAAATAGAACTTTATCTACGTAATACAATTTGAGAAGTGAACCATTACCCCCCCCCCCCATCCCCTGTTGTCGTATGGGGCTTAGGAGACGGAGACAACCCCAATCCTGGGGATCACCCTTGCCTTGGGCCTCAGCCCTCGGCTTCTTCCCCTTTCCGTTTCTTTCTCTTCCCCAACCCCTTCTACTATCCACTTCCTAAGGTGTCGTGTTGAAAGGATGAAAGGCTGACACGATATTCCCCTGTTTAGCTGTCTAGCTCTGAGGGTGGACTGCTTCTCTCCCCCAACATACTCCTGGCCAGTAATTAAGGTTTATCACCCTTATTAAGGGCACTGAGACTTGCCCCTTTATCAACCCCACTGATTTAAATCCTCCCGATTCTCCGACCCCAGGCTATCATTTGACGACGACTGAACAATGCTACTACTACCGTCTCCTCGTTACCTATTGTCACCTTAGCTCAGTCCAAATCATCCACCCAGGTTATTATTCAACCTCGAGAAAACATTCACCCTCTACTTCACCTTCTCCTCCCCCACAGCTTTCTTCATCTACTACCCCCTCCTATTTTATTATTACTTTGTATCCTTATTGCCCACCTCCCTGCAGCACTACCTCTCTCAACGCTACTCCCTCTTCCACACGTCCACGCCCACTTCTACAAACCTATTGAATTTGATTCTTCGTGACCCTCGTTCCCACCTTGTCACAGTTACATCCGAATTCCAAGCTAAAGCATTATTTACCCAAAGAGGAAGCAAGCAGACTAAATTTTTCTCTTACTCTCTTCACCAGTACTGTCCTTTACTCCACCCTTCCCCCACCACCCAAAGATGTTTTTACATCTCCCCCAGTATCTCTTCATCTACCACCTTCCTCTCCCGGTCAAATTCTTTTGCCATTCTAAATCCAGTCTCCACCACTATTCCAGGCAATCCAATCTCTACTTCCCCGGTACCTACTCCTCTCCCTCCTCGCCCAACTCATCGCACTAGACAAGCTAAACGTTCCACCCCATCTTCTACCGCAGCCTCTCCCTCCGTCCCTCAAACGTCTGTCCCCTTTTCTCCCCATATGAAAACCTTTGTTCTATCAGACCTCCCCAACTAAGAAACTTTAGAAACTCTCGAAGGCATTCAAAACTATCTAATAATGACCCAAGATAACATGCCTACTCCTCATCCATTCACCAATCTCTATGCTCCAATATCCCCTATACTCAAATAACTGAAATAACTGCCGACTGCCTACACCTCTTCCTCCAACTCCCTCCCAGCACCACCCCCCCTGCTTCAGCTGCATCCTCCCCCTTCCTTCCTCACTATCCCTTCGATTCCCCCTGGGTACACGTGTGACGCTTTCTCACAACAGTTCTCTTCCCTGAATTCTCTCCCTTCTGACATTTTTCCTGAAACTGTGATCTGATCGCCCTTAAACCCTTTCCTTTTTGCTAATCGCTACCTTTCCCTACGGACATCCTTGCAGAATCCCACACTTCCTCCTTTAACAACTTTGATCTAATCACCCTTGTTAATCCGTAGTTTCTTGAACTGCTGTACGATTTCTTACGTGTAGCACATTTAATCATTAACTAACACCCCACTTTACCATTTTCACCATTACACCTTTCTATGTCTAGCACATTTATTTTGTTTTCTAGTCACTACAAGCACTGTGACCAATAATCCCACCTTTTGTTGATGAAAGCAGCCTCAGCAGTGGCAGGTTCCCGTGTCTCTCTGTTCTTTACCAAATCTACGCCCAAGAACATCCCTTCGCCTCGTACATCACCTGGAAACCACACATTTGGTATGAGGGATTTTGACCAATACATTCTTCATTTTTTCATCAAAATCAGTATAAACGCATAAAGTCTTACCAATAATGGCATGTTTTCCTTTAAGCCGGTTAAATTCTTGCTTTAGGAAGTTTCCAATTTTTGTAGCATTATCCAACAGATTTTCTTTCTCAATGACATCGAGAACAGCATTTGCAATAGCGGCGGACACAGGATTGCCACCAAACGTGTTGAAGTATTCCATTCCTGTTGCTCCAAAGCTTTCAGCAATTTCCCTGCAAAATAGCAGTGTTATATAGTATATTGAATATATGAAATTATTTACTAACACTGCTATTAAGAGCAATTTGACATTTTATTGAGATTGAAATGAATGGCGGAAAGGAAAGATTAAAATAATTTCGATATATAGAATATACATAAACATTTTAAAAGTGTGTGATCCGGAAGGTAGCTATATGCATAATAATCTCAGAGAGCTATTTACAGAAAGGGAAATGGAATTTTGGGAGGTAGTGCTTTATGAGATACAGAAACTCAACTATCAAAAAATCGATTCTAAAAAAATGCAGAACACTCTTAAAAAAAGTGAATTCACTCTTAAAAAAGTGAATTCATAAGATATGAAAATGCTCGTAAAAACGAAAGTTCTTCGTATATTTAAAACTAAATTGTAGGATTACCTTGTTGTAATGACTGCTGACACAGGGTGGCCATTCCCCATAGGCTTTCCGAGGGTTACAATGTCTGGAACTATGTCATCCCCCTGTGTCTGGAAGGCCCACATGTGAGAACCAACTCTTCCAAATCCAACCTGGACCTCATCTGCCAAACACACACCACCTGCTGCTCTTACATGGCTGAAATAAACAAATAAAACAGGCTACATTGACATTTCATAAGCAAATCACATTATTGGTTATTTTACCTATTCATTTATTCACTTAGTTATTCTTGTTTATTTATTTCTTAATGCTTTAGAAAACATGTGCTATCTAGGAGAACCGTCAGTCAAAAATACCAAAAATATCTTAAATAACTGCAATTTACCTATAGACCTGACGAAGGTATCCTGGTGGGTAAACAATCTGTCCACCGCAGCTTTGCATAGATTCTGCGAAAAAGATGCTAACTCCACCGTGGAGTTTGGTAGCCTTGTCACACAGCTGTTTCACTTCATCTGCATACTTTTTAGTACACTCTTCCACTGTGAAGTCTTTGTCTGTGTACTTTCCTCGATACACATCAGGAACTGGGGCCTGTGAAAATATAGGTAATAACAAGGAGAAGAACCTTATATATGTTTATACTTGACGTGGTATGTGCTGATAACTGAATGTTCTATTGACTCTATGGATATCAACTTTACCCTTCTAAAAATATCCATATATGTTGCTGTGGAAATACTCACTACATGGACCCAGTCACGCTGGCCTTCTCCCCCAGGATGGTTGAATTTATATGGAGAAATGTCAATAAGGGATGTGACATGACCATGGTATGCACTGAAAAAAACAAACAAACATAAAATAGAAATTCTGAGGTTTCTGTTAAAGATAATTAATATTGGAATTGCATATACATTATTAATAATACAGATTCACACTTTACATTAGCCATCATTGAGAAAAAAATATTAAAGACGAAAGAAATCTTACTGGTCTAGGGTGATGACATCCCGCTTCCCCGTGTGCGTTCTTGCAAGTCGTATTGCAAGGTCGTTGGCCTCGCTGCCAGAATTGACGAAGAAGCAGACATTTAGCTTTTCGGGGAAATAGGACGTCAGTCTGCCGGGGGAAAGATAAAGGTGAAAGCTATGTCAAGTATGAGTTTAACAATTCTTACTTTTAATTATATGTTGATGGAAAACTTGAGATTGATTATTTTGTTATACTATTTGAAAATAAAGGAAAAGTTACAGAAAAAAAACATCACAAACGATTACACTTGCCTAACATGACGCAAAATGACTACCTCGTTTTTCCTTCTAAATACTCTCTTCGGACTACCAGTAGGTATCATCGCCTTTGAATACAATTGTTCAAAACATGTAGACATATTTTATTTAAACAACAAAAGAGCAGTCAAAAAATAGAAATCACAAACCTCTCCGCATAGAGAACCAGATTATCATGAAGGAATCGGCTGTTTGTGTTCAAGACGCTCATCTGCTCAACTGCTGCAGATACAACTTGTGGGTGACAATGGCCAACTGTGGGGGAAATACCATAGTGA